ACGAACCAGCACAAGAAGGAAAGCATACGAGAACTGAGCAAATCCGGAAAGATTGCTGGCTCGAGCACAATCGGGAAGCACAAGTGAAGCTGGCCCCGAAGAATAATCGTCACGAGGACAACTGGCCGACCTGACGTGTAGGTTGGGATACTAGCAGGCCTATGGCTGGACAAATAAAAACTGTATGTAAAGTGTTATATTTCGGAATCAACCCAAAAGCGAATGCATGAATCGACAGAATGTCGGAAAGATTATCAGACAAGAAGAGGACGGAAACGAAGTCTGTAAAGAATCTTAGCTAAAACAACACAAAAGGCAACCGTATCCAAACCATGAAACTCTATATTCTTCTCTTTTTTTCGAAGCCAGCAGAAGTCCGATTGCTGTCGGTTTGCGCGAATCCGGTTAAAGGCGGTCTTGGCGAGATGAAGTGGCCAAAACTTGGGCAATTTCGCCAATTCTTTGTGGGCCGATTGCCTTCTAATGGCGAATTATTCGAGACTGATGAACAATTTCAGTGTTTTACTCGAATATAGCGTTTTTACGGTTTTTTACAGCTTTGCCTGAAAATGAGTTCGCGGCCAGTCCCGGGCTTGTCTGAGAGCCACTTTTTTCTTCTTTCCTTCTTATTCTTCTCTCTTTTTCTCGCGTTCTACCTCTTTCACTTTCTTGGTACATAAAAGATGTATCTTCAATCTGGCAGGAAAGCTCTGCTCATATACAGACAACTGCGAAGATTTCACTACTAACTTCAACCAGTTCAGTATAGACGAAGAAATGTTGGGTTTCGAGGAATCTCTTGTTTCATATTTGTGAAGAGATTGGAAGGTCGGTTCCACCAGAGGACGACGGCGGATTCCTCATGACCCGCTGTCGATTGGCTTTACTGGCAGATTCATGCTGACGCTGTCGCCGAGACAATCTCCTTCGATTCCGGTAAAAAGGTTATAACCTTTCGTCCGTCTAATGACGAACATCTTCATAGAAAGGTGTCATCGTCACAACCAAC